TAGAATTTGTCTCAGATCTAAATTAAGAAGAGGTTTCCAAAATTAAGGGCTATTCCGTGGCAAAGAGAAAAAGGGTTCTCTGTCTGGGAAGTATTTTGCACAATGCAGTTTTGTCCCCATCGAGACTCATAACAACTAAATTGGCAAATCTTCCGAAGGCATTTGTCCATGATTAAAGGTTGGAGTTTCTCACTTCACAAATCTGCACTTTGGAGATTTTCACCTGCTTCAGACATTTTACAGAACTAACCCAAATTTTACGACGACTGTATGATTATTTCATATCCATTTGGGATACAAGCTGAGTAGCATATCCTTTTGTTTTATTAGAACACAATTGAGTACTCAAAAAGAAGGTAGGCCTTAAATCGTGGGGTTCTTACTTATGTGTATTACCAACAAACGGTAAAATGGTCTTTAAAACAAAAATGTGTACTATTGATAAACAAATGGATATAACCCAATGTGCTCATATGCAATTGATATGGGTCTGTGGCAGGTAGGTGCACACCTGAAAGGTAAAGATACAACCTGTAATAATGTGTACTTTTTATGGGAAAATACAAGAGAAACTGTCAGGGACAGCTAGCTTGTCAGACGTTCATGAAAAAAAACATGCCACGCATGCCATGAATCGGATTTTACAACAATGTAACCCCAAATAATCAAAACAAAGGATCTAATGTCCTTTCCGGGCCCTATCCTTGGAGTAACAAAAGACATCCTTAATTTCAACTTGAACTGCAATGACCAAACAAGTTTTTGCCATAGTAAACATGATAAGGAAACATCATATATCCTAATCACCCCCACTCGCATCACATGCCTCTGCTATCCCTGATATCCAAACTAGTAGCTAGGACAAGTGTTAGGCCAAGAGAATGATGTCCAATGTGCCACAAACTTCATGACACATTATTGCATCCAAGATTTCAATAGGGAACCATACAAAACAAAGCCATGTTTGGTTGACTTGTGGTTTCTAAAAGCCTTTTGATGACCACCTTGCCCAAACCTATAGCAGAAGAGGAAAGTGTTAGCCCATATGTCTTGTGTTCCCATCGGAGGCCAAGATGTAAAAAGTCTGACAAACTAGAGTTGACGAGGCGAAGTAAGGCCTCTCTGTAACAATGTTAATTAATGTTGAGATATGACAGTAGAAGAAAAATGTGATAAACATTTCTCTGGCGCTGAAATGAAATATAATTTATACCCCCTTATCGTACTTTCTTTTGCTCGCCCATAGTTCGTCAAATAAGGGCTACTAAACAATAAGTTTGATCTCAATGCACAACTTTCCATTCAGCCACTTATGGGTTATGTGCACATGTATGCATGGGCTCACATACAGAAGTATGGACAATGGTTAATACATTTTATCTTTTGAAATAAACATAAACACCCAGGGAAAATATCTTGATTGATTGTAGTTACTAAAATTAACATCGGTAAAACTGCCTACATATGCATAGTGTCAAGTGATGACACCAATGACCATGTAGCTACTAAAATTTAACCACCGCGAATGCAACTTATAGCTTCATCACGTTAGATAGAAAGGCATAACTGGTTGGTAACTAGTAAGTGAATAAGTCTCTTACAATAACAAAATTTAAATAGATGCCTTGAGTAAATCAAAATGTGAGACTCAAGAAATGATGACGACTTTGTACTTCAAAGTTCCCACTTCCTGGGGAAAGTTCCTCAAGATTGTCGAGTACCTTGTGCAGTACCTCTCTCGCAAAATTTCCTCGCTTGTTTGTTACGGACACCAACTACTCTTACTAAATGCAACCAGAAAACTTTCACATTTTATCCCAATACCTCCCGTGCTAAGATAACAACCCATTGGGGAAATGTCGTGACTAATCTTCAGGAACATCTTGTTTTTCAATGTGCACAACAATCATTTTTTCTTTGTATGCATGCATGCTATTTTCCTACGATTGGATAAAACCATGTAACTGAAGAAAACCATGTCCGTGTGGGTGAACGCGTGATGTTTGTTTGTGATTGGAATAGGAGGCAGAGGCAGTTAAACCTCAATGATGTGCCTATTTGGTGGCATTTATCTTGCAAAGTTATATGAGGTCGTTTTGAAGTAGCTATGTACTTTCGGTAATAATGGAAGAAGAGAAAGATCAGTACTAGAATAGATGGAGTAAA